AAAATCAATTGAGCATAAAAATTTGCAAATTTACCTATATGACCAGTCCAAGATGGGATTCACCCTCATGAAAGTCGGCCAACCGGGTGAGCTTGGTGAAAACTGCTCTTGCCCCACCTGAAAAAACACATTTTATTTTCTTTGAACTTAAATTAAAATTTACGATGAAGCGAATGCCGAATACATACAGCAGTAGGATCGCCAATTCGAACACCGAGGAAAATAGCTCTGATTGGTTTGGCTTTAAAAAGAGCCTCCAAGCCCGACTTGAAATCTAAACGACTTATATCCATCTGCAAATTGTAGCTGCAATAGTAGAATTATAAACCAATTATCGACAAAGAAAAAAATAATAATTGCATTACTGCAATTTGAATATACGGTCACATACATAGAAGCTATGCCATAAGTGAATGAGTTGATTTCAGGGAAAGTAGACGGGCTCTCGAAATAGATCGTTCGTATTGGAAATGTTCTTCCATCATCCTCAGCGAACATTTTCTTGCAATGCAAATAGTAGCCTGCTCGAAGGAGGTGCAACAAAACCTACCAAACTAGATTAGTAAATTCCCTGTGTATTTCTTCAAATTGACGTCGTAAAGAGAGGGCTAATGTAAAAAACCAACTTACGGTCGAATCTTTTCCACCGTTAAAGCTGAATGCAACCTCCTCAACACTGTAATGGAATTAGTTGGCGTTTTTGTCTTGTTATTAACCGTATGCCATTAGATGTAAGCTGAATAACTATAGGAACACATCACTGTTGTACGTTTATTTCTAAACACAGCGAGAAGTTAAAACTTAGTAGCCATTCAGCTCATCTTGAATTTTCAAATGCTTATAATTCTATACCGATCGATGATTAAACAAATTTTACCATGACATTCCAATGAAAGAACAAAATTTTTGAAAGGGCTACAAAAGGTGAGGAGAAAAAAAAATAAGAACCTCGATATTTGTCAAACCCATCTAAAAGTAATACCAAGAGTTAAATGCCGAGCTGTTTAAACTGCATCAAGAATTCTATTCGGTGATAAAAGTATAAATTCACTCATGCACGTATCGAGGCACGATCCATTTTCTATAAAAAAAACATAAATACAAACAAGAAAACTGAATGTTAAGGAAAGTGAATCGATCCATACGTGTAGAGAGCAAGAGCCCTTTGGATAACATAGATAGCATTGTTGTACTTTGTCTTCAATCTCGTATCATCACTTTCGCAAATCGCTTTATCGATCTCCATCCTCAACTTAGATCAGTCAATCTTCCTAAACAGAATTTATAAAGAAATAAATAAACGAAAACAAATCAAACACATTATGTTTCGAGTACAACTAACCAACAACATATCACCATAGACATGAGAAATTTTTCAAGCCCATAGTTTGTTCAAATACCAGGAACAATAATTCTCAATCATCACAACCAGTCACAACCAGTATACATATAAAAATCAAATCTTGCCTGCACCTCTTGAATATTTGAATATTTTACTCCCAATATAAATTTCACTTATTACTTTCCATGTGGAAAATAATAATTTTTATGAAATCAACATACATTCAAAACATCAAGAATCAATACGCAACCACAACAAAAGGGCCCATCTTAACAGGAGATTTAGCAATAGAAGTTTTCACCTTGAGCTGAACAAATCAGACAGAATGAGAGCAGTTTCAAAAACAAAATGAGCAATAGAAAAACAGCACCTGCGAATTATAAACTTTCGGACATGATTCGAGAGCAAAGGTGTGTACTTTGTTGACTTTGGGCACAACAAGAGATGAATGAATGTTCATAGCAAAACTCAACAAACAAATTCCACCAAATTACAAGTCTGGGAGGAAATTTCTTCCCAAATTCCGCTTAGGAAATTTCGAAGAAAAAAAAATTTAACAAAGTTGCGGTGGCCAGCCACAAGAAGCTACGCATTGACTAAAAAACACAATAATTGTCCAACTAAAGATAAACACCAAAAATGAAAAGTAAGAGTCTCAATTGGCGACATCATAAAGCAAAGATTTTGAAACTCCAGACTTTCAACCCCTCAAACAAACAAACCAAGAGCATGTAATGTAAAGTATGCCTCCAAGGATCTACTTTCACATAAATTGTAGGTATATAACTAACTTTCACTATCTAAAAATCAATTCCGACCTTAGCTCAGTTGGCAGAGCGGAGGACTGAGGTCAGACAATGTAAAATTATTTTGTATAAGAGAATATAAATTTTACATTATTTTGTATAATAGAATATAAAATTTGTATATTTAATATTGAAAACACCTAAAATATTATATTAGTATATGTAAAAGTATTCAAAATTTTCTATATTATTTTTAAAAGATATAAGTCACCTACAACTTTTCTAAACAATTTTAAAAAGAAAACATATCTAAAAACATTTGAATTTAACATATGTAAAAAAAAAATTCTAGACTATTTTGCAAAAAAAGCATGTCTACAAATAATTAAATTTAACATCAATTATGTATATGTGTATATGTGTATATATAGACGAATATGTAAAAAACAAATGTCTAAACAATTTGTTTAAAGTAACTAAAATATTATAAGGCTAATTTAATAAATACCTTCGGTCAAAAAAAAAGGAAAAAAAACAAATATATACACATTAAATCAAATATAATGTTTCGAAATTTCTGCCTAAAAAGTTTAAATGAAAAGGGAAACAAATCAACACAATATCTATTATTTTGTTAACCTAAAAAATAGGAAAAAGGGAACCATCACAAAAACCATCGCATGTATTATTTTGTTAACCTAACAAAATAGGAAAAAGAAAAACATCACAAAAACCAGCGCCGCTATATCACTATTTATTTAATGATTTTGGAGGGAAAATAATGATTTTAGCGGGTATTTTAATGATTTTAGAGGAAAAATAATGATTTTGTCGGGTATTTAATGATTTTGGAGGGAAAATAATGATTTTGGCGGGAAATCATAAAAAGGTTATTCTTTTAATATAATGATAGATAGTGCGTAGTTGCATCGCACGGGTAAATTATACTTCGTCTGTTTTTTTTAGATGTCGTTTTAATTTAAAACTTTTAAATTACGATTTTCATGAGATGTGTAATAATCTTATATATTAATCCTCATAAATTTAGTGTTTGAATTTTTAATGGTTATATATTATTCTTGAAAAATGTGAAATCACTTATAATTTTTATAATTTTTTTGTAAAAAAAAATATGTCTAAAAACACTTAAAGATGTGAGCACAAAATATTTTAGAAAAAAAAAAATGTCTAAAAATCAACTATAGTTTTGAATGCACGCCGAGATTTATGGATACTCCATATTTAGATAACAAAATTATCATATAAAAAGATGTGAGCACAAAATATTTTAAAAAATAGTTTTTGTTAGCAAATGCACGATTGAGATACCATAATTATGACTATTATTGAGGAGCTGCATCACAAAATTCAGTAAAATTATTTTTTTAAAAAGTTATCTATATATATATATATATATATATAATTACTAGCTAATCTCATTTAATAAAATATTTAAAAAAAATATTTTCACTTTCCCTTCAAAAGTAGTTACATTTTTTTAATTAATTACTCACTAATCCCACATTTAAGAAGGTTTCTTTTAGTTAAACTTAATTTTAGTTAATGGCTAAATTAAAAAAGTTCTTTTAGTTAATCCCACATTTATGTTTCTTATTTTCATTTATATATATAAATGAGGCAGTCATTATTGTTGTGCAGAAACTATATATTATTATTTTTTTATTCCATTATGAATTGAATAAGCAATTAAAGTTATAAAAAATATTAATAAATGTATTAAATAGAAACATTATAATACAGATCATGTTACATTACAATATAAAAAATGAAATTATTTTTTTTGTAATTTAATTTCCAGCCATACTCCATCAAACATATAGCTGCAAAATGATAAGAAAAATTAGTTTCATAATTAAAATTAAAAATTTAGCTCCCCCAAATGGTAAAACCTAATAAATTAGTAGTATAGATACATTTAAATGACATAATTTATAAACTTAGACTATACGCATAATAAGATGAATTAAAAAAAATTAATGAATTAAATAAATAAATTATTATTATTATTATAGTTCAGTCTATATTATTATTATAGCAAAGTCTATATTGTCAATATTATCATTTAAAACATTCATTGAAAAAACTTATGTATAAAAAAAATCCATATGATCATAATTAATTGTAGAAAATTAATTATCTTTGACTTTCTATTTAGTAGTAATCTATATCTATATCTATATCTATATATATATAATTGCTAGCTAAGCAATAAATTTTACCTAATAAATTTTACCTATGTGGCAAATCATTAATAAAACCTAATAAATAGAACCTAATAAATTTTATTTATGTGGCATTAATACACCCAATCTCATTAATAAAAAAATATTTCATTACATTTTTTTGGGTTAATTAAGACAACAACCATTATATTTTATGTTACTTGATTAATAATTATATTTTTTATTGAATAATATAATAGTTAATATTAAAATAAGTAATTATATTTTATACTAAATAATATATGAAAGTTACATAAAATTATATTTTACACTAAAATCAATATTTTTTTATATGATGAAGATGTTGTTTATTAAAAACTTAATTTTTTTTATGTCATAGTAAAATTTCTTAAAATCACATAAGCAATTGTTATAATAAATGTAATATTTTTCAGCTAATTAATTGGTCATGATCACTCAAAATTATAAAAATATATATTTATTACATTTTATGCAATCAATATAGTGATTCATATACAATCAAATCGTGTGTACTATTTATTTTAACCAATGATCAAATTTTAAAATATAATACTATTATATAATTTATAATTTGAATATTATATACATAAATATAACTTATAATACTATATGTTTGAAATATAATACAATTATATAGCTTATAATTTTTATATTATATACATAAATATAACTTATAATATTTAACTTTATTTACATCTGT